CACCATGAGCTACTGGTTTTCCACCCTGAAAACAAGTATTCCTCTAGGATGTGGAAGAAGGTGTGGAATCTGTGGAGGTAAGCTATGGTCTCACTGAACTGAGGCTGTAGATGTAAGCTATGGTCTCACTGAACTGGAGCTATGGATGTTTCATATTTGAAGTTGGCGATTTAACCAGCATCACCTTCTTTAGGGGAAATGGAGCTATTTAGTAAGTTTAATGTAGTTTAACATAAAATGTAGTTGGTGTGGTGCAACTCATTTTGATTTAGTAAAGCATAAACCTTAACTTAGGAACTACTATAAATCACCTGAATATAAAAATCACACACAGGGTTCACCCAAGAGAATTTAACCAGAAACCCCAAGAACCAAACATCACACTTAACCAGGGCCCCCATCTAGCACCAACCAACACACCTCATCTAAACTAAACCAGCAACCCCCCGCCACACACAAATTAAACCAGCAGTCCCAACCCATCGCCTAAAGTAAACCATCACCCCCCCCCAAACACACACACACACACACACACACAAAACCATACAAACCTAAAAACATTGACATCAATGAAATATTAGCATAACACTGAAACCTTTAGCTTATTTTCAAGACAGCTGCTTTTAGATTATTACTTCGGTTCAAAATGTCCACACTTTAAAACTGTGTGAGGAAAAAAGTCTTTTAAGGCTCAATACAAGAAGATGGAAAAAAGAATGAGAAAAAATAGTAAACAAATATTATTTGGGTTCCAAAAAATAAAATAAAAAATATCTACTGAAGTGATCCAGGTCAGTTTATGGACAGATATACCTGCCGCCCTCTCTCTGATCCAGGAACAGTCTGGGCATAGCAGACTGGTTACACCACCAGTCCGGTAGGAGAATCAGTAAACAGAATTAAATCTAGAAGGTATCTAGAACTGACTGCAGTCTATCAGACCTCTGAACTCCTCGCACTAAAACCAATCTGAATTTACTCAATAATTGGTCTTATTTGCATTGTTGAAGCAACAAGCATACATGAATAAAATATAAATGACCACAACACCGATAAACTTAACATTTCTTTAACATACATAAACATTTTCCTACCATTTCTGACCAAACGCATTTAGCATTTAGTATAAACACTCGAAACTGCAGCTAAATCTGTCAGTATTTATCAGCCAACTCAGCCCAGCAGACACACAGGAGTTAACAGACTATGAACCCGCTTTTAGAGCAGTTTTACACACTTTCAGTGCAGATTTAGTGTTGAAAACTAGTACAAAACTTAGTAACTGTGGACCAGGAAACACACAGATACAGAGATGCTCACCTCGCAGAAGAATCAGGGTTAAATCTAGAAGATATCTGGAGTGATTCCTGTCTATCAGACCTCTCCTCTCGTCGTGCTAAAACTCTGAACCACATGCTCCCCTACCCGTATGTTTCTATAGAAACTCTGTTCGGACATTGAAGTAGCTACTATAACCAGAAACTGCGTCGCACAAAGTGAAACTGTCGCAAATTTCTTAAAGAACTAGCGCCTACTTAATGAACAACACTAAGGCTGACAAAATTACAGCTGGGTTACAAAGTGATAAACAGCTCCTTCAGCAGATCAGCTCCTGTTTCTCTCTATTTCTGTAAGAGTGAGTTATAAACAGTGTAAACAGAGTGAAAAAGTGATAAACAGCTCTTTACCTTCAGCAGATCAGCTCCTGTTTCTCTCTAGTACCGCAAAGCTTTTCTTCTTCTCCACTTTGTCTCCACTATACACCGTTATAGAACTAGCACACCCCGTCATCACTGTGTATCTGGGGGCAATTTTGTTCTAATCCCACCAGCAAACCCCGCCTCCTGTGCTATGATTGGCTAAAAGTTCATAACAGCAGTCACTTGTTTATTTACTGCAGCAGTTTTGAATTTACACAAATATGACATAAAATAATGGAATAAGAATGATGGAACACATTCAGTAAATAAGCTATAACATAAATATAACATAAAGTTATAATATAAATGGTTAAGCTGCTTGAGTAAAGGTTAATCATTCAACCCTGATACCAAATTTGTTGTTAAAAAAAGAATATATATTTATTGTTTATTTATGTAAGCTATATGGTTATTAGCAGTTAACATGGAACATGTGCAGCATGTCAAGCTAAACACTCCTCAATTCTAGATTATTATATGCTAAATTTACAACCCTGTTACCCAATTTTTTTATCTTCAATTATTTTGTTTAATGTAAATGAAATGAAAATGGTTTAAAACACATATTTCAATAATAACTTTCTGAAGAAAACAAATATGAATATTTCCATATTCTGTGTTATATACTTTAAATGTTTTTACTGTATTAATATTCAACACTGTTGCTCACTTCAAAATATTCACACATTTTTGACATTTTGTATAGACACACTAGGTTAGGGTGCCACCTTATGTATTTTGTGGCGGTTTATCTGTGGCAAGACAAGTTAGCTTGTCTTGTTTCTTTCTTTCCTTGGGCACTGTGCGAAGTCTACCCTTATTAGTAGCTGGCGGGGCTGTTTATGCTGTAAATCTTTTATAACTTTTGGATTTGCATAAGTTGTCTTTTCACTTTTGTATTTTGTGCATGGTTGTATGACACACTTTTACTATATAAGCAAAGCACTGCATAACTTACCTCAGTTGTGACTGTGACCTTCCTACCCTCAGACCATCACGTCTATGCCATGTTGCTACCTATTTACTCATCTACGCCATGTTGCTGCATCTTTGCCCGGAGCGATGGTAGATGTTTTGGCAGAGTGGAGTGAAGCTGTGATTGGCTACTTTGATGGCTTACAGGCTCCGTACTGAGCACATGGGGAAAGTGAGGAAAAAATAATCAGATGACACAGTGGAATCCACAGAAAGTGACAGCGTAGAGCCAGCACTTAAAGCAGAATGCATCTGAAAAATATAGTTACTATGAACTACTGTATAAACCCACAATGCAAGAAGAATCAACTGTAAATTTTACATCCAAATGTGTATCTGTAGTAATTTAGGGGTTAAACCAATGGGTGGTAAGTAACCTGAAGAGATTTGGTTGGACTTTTATGGAGATGCAGTGAAGTCACATATGGTGACTCCTATGCCAAGACCCGTCTGTCACATCCTGATTTTTTGGCTGAAAAGGTGAAGGGATGGTAAGTCACCTAAAAAATGATCTTTCACTTTTTTGTGAGGATGAAGTGGGTTCGCACATTCTGACTGTAGCTCTCATGATTGCCAGGACTTTTCTGTGCAACCCAGTTATTAAATCATTCTCATTTAAAGCCCATATAACCTAACTAAGGTTTAAAGTTAGGACCTGGTGTAGGCAAATTTGTCATCTACCATGAAAATGTATTACCCCAGTGTGACTCTGTGATAACAGAAAACAAAGATGAAATAACCAAAACCTTTTAGGAGAATAACCTTTGAATAATTTATTCTAAAACCCATTATGACCACCATCTGAATGAAGCCTGATCAGGAGTAGTCTTGAAATGGTACACCTTGTCTGTTTAGCACGACAGAACAGGCAGTGTGACATAATTCCTTTGGCAGATGTGCAGCTTTTCAGCCGTCCACACTGTCTGACCCACCAGCACTGTCCAAACTCATACGTCAGTATGCTGTTCATTGACTTCAGTTCAGCATCAGTGGTCCCCTCCAAGCTGATCTTAAAGATTAGCCAGTTTGGTATCAACACATCTCTGTGCAACTGGATTCTGGACTTCCTCTTCTGTACTCGCTGTTCACCCATGACCGTGTTCCTGTTTATGGCTCTAACTCCATAATCCAAACCAAGGAGGTCATAGTGGACTTCAGGAGGTGTAGGAGCCAGACACACTCAGCCAGCTTCATCAGCAGAGCTGAGGTAGAGCGCATGTCTCATTTCAATTTCCTTGGTATCTGCATCTGTGATGATTTCACGTGGTCCCTAAACTCCTCCATCATGGTCAAGAAGGCACAACAGTGTCTTTACTTCCTACGGAGCCTCAATAAAGCTCACTTGTGTCCCAGGATACTGGTGAACTTCTGTAACATTGAGAGCATACTCACATCACAGTGTGGTACGGCAACTGCTCTGCATCTGACCGCAAAGTGCTCCAGTGGGTGGTGAAAACTGCCCAACGCATCACAGGTGTCCAGTCACCCACCATTGAGAACATTTTCCAAGCACAGTGTGGGCAGGGTGAGGAACATCATCAAGGATGTTTCTCATCCTAACCACTGACTTTTTTACCCTCCTCCCATCTGGTAGGCATTACAGAAGCCTCTGCTCCCTCACCAGCAGGCTCAGGAAGAGCTTCTTCCCTCAGGCTGTGATGCTGCTTAACTGCATCTTTGCACTCATTGCACTGTATTGTACCTTATATACTAATATTATTGCACTATTCATATTTGCACCAAAACATATTCGTAGCTTACTGTACAAACTTACTCTGCACACTTACCTTTTACATATGATGCTCTCACAGGACATACTACCTCATTGTACATACTCCACTCACTCTGTATATACGTATATTATATTTATACATGCATATCTATATTTGTTTACCACTATATACAATCTGTCTGCACTTTATATGTGAATAATACTGTATTTCTCACTTCTGGTTAAATACTAACTGCATTTCATTGGCTCTGTACCTGTACTCTGCACAATGACAATACAGTTTAATCTAATCTTGAATCTAATCTAATATAGAAGTATTTTGTGTCATGGACAAAATGAAATGTATTATTCTGACTGTTACACAAAGCTTTTTGTTTGTGTATTAATATTTTACAAAATGTTGTATTGCACCCGTCACACAACTCAATGCTCAATTTCTGAATGTGTTTCCTCATCCTTATTCCATTATTTTATGTCATATTTTTGTAAAATAAGCTCTTATGAACCTCTAGCCAATCGTATCGCAGGAGGCCGGGTCTGTCGGAATACGGGTGGGAATAGAAAAATTACGCCCACAGATCCACAGCGATGACGTCGTTGGAGGCGCTAGTTCTATAACGGTGGTTCTCCACAGGCGATAAAGAGGAGAAGAAGAAGAGCTTCGCGGTACTAGAGAAACAGGAGCTGATCTGCTGAAGGTAAAGAGCTGTTTATCTTTTTTTTCACTCTGTTTACACTGTTTATAACTCACTCTTACAGAAATAGAGAGAAACAGGAGCTGATCTGCTGAAGGTAAAGAGCTGTTTATCTTTATGTTTGAGCTGATACGCTTTTATAGTCAACTTATTGCTATTAATTTTTTGTTAGGCATTTCACATCGTGAATGATTATTTTATTGGTTTTGGGTTTGGGGTCATTTAGTTTCCAACTCCAAATATGAAACATCCACAGCTCCAGTTCAATGAGACCATAGCTTACATCCACAGTTCCAGTTCAGTGAGACCATAGCTTACATCCACAGTTCCAGTTCAGTGAGACCATAGCTTACATCTACAGCTCCAGTTCAGTGAGACCATAGCTTACATCCACTGCTCCAGTTCAGTGAGACGACAGCTTACGTCTACAGCTCCAGTTCTATACCTATAGAGCTCTGAGGACCACCAGTTCTGAGGCATAGAGGGTCATAGTCACCCATTTTTATTTATTGAACTTTTTTTTCAGCAAGGATGGCCATAACTGTGTGGTTTGCAGGTGAGACATCATCAGGACAAGCCATATTTCCAGTCTTTTGGTTGACCTAATGTTCAGTGGTGGTATAGGAGAGGGTAGTGGGGAGGGGGAGTCATAGGTCCTTTAGAGGTGAGAACGGACAGAGATAAGGTGTGAAGAGGCTGCAGACAGGGTGTTGTAGACAGACTGTAGCTCAGCAGGAGGAAGGCAGAAAATCTTTTTTCAATTCTTAAGTGACAGATGTTCAGATGTTTTGCAACATTTGGAGGCTGGTGGTTAGAAATGGTCTTGAATCTCTTCCAGATAAAGGAACTGTTCACAGTTTGAACACAAATGAACAGTCACAGTTTGCTGTTGACTGCACATTTAGCCATTTTATTTGGTGTCCGTGCTCCACTGGTGTCTTTTTTGGCTTTGCATAGTGTCTCCAAGTCAATTGAGAACCAGGATTATTTGATGTCAACACAGATAGTTTTGGGAAGCAAGTCTCCTTGCAGAAGGTTACGTAGGAAGTGCCTGCATTTTATCTCTGTAATGTAGTACAGTTCCACAGTCTTTGATGAACTATGGTTTAACTGGTAATTTAACATCAATTCTTTAAGGTTCTGAAATGTTCAAACCTCAAATGCTGTAAACCCCCCATCAGTACCTGAGTCCTGTTATGACATCAACATAAAAACATAAAAGTCAGTGCAGTGCTGGTTTATCCTTATAACTGACACATCTGCCTGTATGTTTTAAGCACTGCTTCAAGTTCAGTGCTCTGTTCCTGATAATCGGCAGATTTAGAAGCTTCTACAACTTGAATATTCCTACTGAACCAGCTACAGTTTTTGTACAGTTGCTAACGAGCATTGGCATTTAGCTTTTCATTAGCATTTTTAAATGAAAAGAAGAAAATGGCGTCATCAGCTGCTAAATCTGCCTCCCGAAACCTGGAGAGATCTCTGCTTCCACAACTCAACCTCTACCCTAACCAATCTATCTATAAATAAATTAGTTAGCTATTTTATTAACCTGAAAATCTACCTCATATATTTTATTTCAAGTGCCACTTACCTGCTTTAGTTAACATCAACTGTGGTTTACCCGTTTACAGTGCAGTTTTGTCACAGTAAATGGTCACCTAATGCTGTTTTGTGGAAAGTCTAATCAAAATTCAGTAAACTCAAATTTTTCAATTTTGTTTTTTTGCTACATATTTGAAAAATTTGGGGCAGTAAAGCATGTACCATGTACCGCTATGCAGTTTTGTTTTTTTCAAAACACTTAAAAAGATATGTACGGACTGAAGAAACCAAGTGATGAAGCACTTCGGGTGTAATTTTGTCCCTTTATTGCCGCAAACAAGTTGTGCAACAGTATGAGCTCTTCATTGTTACTTTTGTATTTTAAAATGCACCGCACATTGTCTATTGGGGACAGTCAGGCAGGCCATCTTCTTTCTCAGCTCTTTTAGAATTATTTAGTATTATATTATATATATATTTAGTAATTTTTAATAAATATATCAAAAAATAATTTTTAGTATAATTACTTTTGAACAGATGAACATACTTCAGATTTGCTACACTCTTTTCTCTTCATCATGTTAATTATCGTGATCTGTTACATGTCCCCAATTGTTTCTTAAATGTGTTTTTGAAAAATGTTCTAAGAAAAAGTCTATGTCAGATTCATGATGTGTTCTTAAACTGCAGAATTGTTTGCACACTTGTGCTCTTGAGTGTGTGTAGATTCTGCTCTTATCTAAATGAGTTTTAATAAGTTCTTCATAAAAACATTGTTTGAATCCCACAAAAGATTTGGTATTTTTTCCAGTTACCTACTTTAACACCTTATCAACCAGTGTTTTCTTTTCCCTTCCTTTTTCTTCTTCAGAATCATCTACTGCTGCAAGTCTCTTGCTCCTAGTGATCACTTTCCATCTAATATTCGAATTACCCTTTAAAAACTGCCGAAATAAGAAAAGATTGGATGTGAGAATATGGTGTCCAGAAGCTCCAGTACTCAAAAAACATCTGATGTGCTTCACAAGAACACACCTCGCAGACCAACACAAAAGATTTCAGGCAGAAAAAGAACTTGCCACTGTTCAGAGTGTGGAAAGAGTTTTATTAAACGGAGTGATCTCCAAACACACCAACGCGTTCACACAGGAGAGAAACCTTATCACTGCTCAGACTGTGGAAAGAATTTTACTGTACATGGTAATCTCCAAAAACACCAGCGCATTCACACAGGAGAGAAACCGTATCACTGCTCAGAGTGTGGACAGAGTTTTAGAGACAGTAGTACTCTCAAGAAACACCAGCGCATTCACACAGGAGAGAAACCATATCAATGCTCAGAGTGTGGAAAGAGTTTTGCGAGATGGGGTAGTCTCCAAGTCCACAGGCGCATCCACACGGGAGAGAAACCGTATCACTGCTTAGAGTGTGGACAGAGTTTTTCTCTACAGAGTAGTCTCCAAGCCCACCAGCGCATTCACACAGGGGAGAAACCGTATCACTGCTCAGAATGTGGACAGAATTTTAGAGAGCGTGGTACCCTCAAGAAACACCAGCGCATTCACACCGGAGAGAAACCGTATCACTGCTCGGAGTGTGGGAAGAGTTTTCGTCAGCAGAGTAGTTTCCAAAAACACCAGCGCATTCACAAAGGAGAGAAACCATATCACTGCTCAGAGTGTGGAAAGAGTTTTACTACACGGAGTCATCTCCAAACACACCAGCGCATTCACACTGGAGAGAAACCATATACCTGTTTAGAGTGTGGACAGAGTTTTGCTGTACAAAGTAGTCTCCAAACACACCAGCGCATTCACACAGGAGAGAAACCATATCACTGCTTTGAGTGTGGGAAGAGTTTTAGAGGAAGTGGAGACCTTGGAAAACACCAGCGCATTCACACAGGAGAGAAACCATATACCTGTTTAGAGTGTGGACAAAGGTTTGCTATACGTAGTAGTCTCCAAAAACATCAGCGCATTCACACAGGAGAGAAACCGTTTCACTGCTTTGAGTGTGGGAAGAGTTTTACAGAATGTGGTACCCTCAAGATTCACCAGCGTATTCACACAGGAGAGAAACCATATCGGTGTTCAGATTGTGGAAAGACTTTTTGTCAGCAGAGTGGTCTCCAAAAACACCAACGCATTCACACAGGAAAGAAACCATAGCACTGCTCAGAGTGTGGGAAGATCTTTGGAGAAAGTGGTTCCCTCAAGATTCACCAGCACATTCACACCTGAGAGAAACCGCATCACTGTTCAGTGTGAGGGAAGCGCTTCAGTCATTCAGGTTTTAAGGCACATGCATGATTTGATGTATTTCAAATGAAATAAAAAAAAAATGGTTTGAGCCTCTGTCCAGGGCTAGGAATTAAATCTTACTTCATTATTTCTATCATGTAAGAGCCTTGTATGATTTAAATGCATAGATTTTATTTTTACTTTTGAAATGCAAAGGTACAAATTTGTTAAATTGTAAAAATTGACAGCATGTTGTTTGCAGAACCAACAAATTATATAGCCTATTAAGTGATATTGAAAATATTAGTGTTTTATTATTTATTACAATAATGATCTATTTGATGTCACTTAATAACACAGATAAAGACAAATAATAGGGTAGAGAGGTGAGAAAGCACAGTCAAGAACTGAAGAGATCTGGTTCACCTTCTAAAATCTTTGTAAATCTGGACAAATGCAATAAATCCAACAATCTAGAAATGGTCTACACAGTCAAATTGAAGTTTCATCTTTTGAGAGCTATGAAGAGCCATGATTCAGTTCCACAATCAGCTCTGCTGTGCTGTGTGAGATAAAAAGAGTCCTGATTGAAAAATCCATTTAAACTGTCCAATGGCGAGTTGAGTTTTGCTGTTCTCACTGAATAACTATCACTGAATAAAAGAAGACAACACAGGTTATTCAGCATTTTTCACTGTTGAGGCTAAATGTTTTAGTAAGGTCAGGCTTCACTTCTGGCAGAGATTATCTGGGTACACTGGTCTGATCATGTATTGATGCAATACATTTTTTTACACTATACAGATAAAAGTATTGGGACACCTACACATTACACCTTTGTGACATCTAATTCTAAATCCATAGCCATTAAAATGGAGTTGGTCCCTGCTTTGCAGCTGTAACAGTTTCCACTCTTCTGGGAAGCTGTCTACAAGATGTTGGAGAGTGTCTGTAGGATTTTTTGTCCGTTCATTGAGAAGAGCATATGTGAGGTCAGACACTGATGACAGACGAGAAGGCCTGGCTCACATTCTCTGTTCTAGTTCATTCCAAAGGTGTTTGATGGGGTTGAGGTCAGAGCTCTGTGTGAGCCAGTCAAGTTCTTCTACACCAAATTGTACTTTGTGATATAAAGCTTGTATGCAGCTGTTCAGCCATGGAAACCCTGCCAGGAAGCTCCCTGACACTCGGTTTTTGTGCTGATGTTAATTTTAAATTTTGTTAAGTTTTACTCCTGTAGTTTTTTTCACAAGTATTACTAGGTATGAGTCTTTTAACTTAATATCTGTATCATTAGAAAGTACAACCCCATTTCCAAAATAATTGGGATGCTCTGCAAAATGTAAATAAAAACAAAATGCAATAGTGTGCAAATCATTTAAACCCTATTTCTTATTTAAACTAGTACAAAGACAACATATCAAATGTTGAAACTGAGAAACGTGATTGCATCTGAAAAATATTTGCCCATTTTGAATTTGATGCCAACAACACATTCCAAAAAAGTTGGTATGAGGGCAACAAAAGGCCTGTAAATTTGTGTAGTGCTAAAACAAAAACATCTGGCGACTGATTGGCAACAGGTCAGCACCATGACTGGGTATAAAAGAGTATCCCAAAGAGGCCGAGTCTTTTAGAAATAAAGATTAGGAGGGGTTCACCACTCTTTGAAGACTGCATGATCAAATAGTGCAACAATTAGTGGGCTAAATACCACTCAGTTGTTATCAGTGCACAGTTCAAAAGCCAATATTCATGATGGTATAGGGGTGCATTAGTGCACATGGCATAGATGATGTGCACATATGTGAAGTCACCATTAATGTTTTAATGTTTTGGCAACATATGCTTCCAACCAGATGACGTCTTTTTCAGAGAAGGCCCTGATCGTTTCAGCAAGACAATGTCAAACCACATTCTGCATGTATTACAACAGCATTGCTCCGTATTAAAAGAGTCCTGCTACTAAACTGACCTCCCTGCAATCCAGACCTGTCATCACTGAAAATATTTGCCGCATTATGAAATGAAAAATATGACAAATGAGACCCCAAACAGTTGAGCAGCTGAAATCCTGTATCAAACAAGAACAGAAAACATTTCACTTTCAAAACTACAGCAGTGTCTCCTCAGTTCCCAAAGGCTTGCAGAGTGTTGTTAAAAGAAGAGGTGATGAAACACAGTGGCAAACATGCCCCTGTCCCAACTTTTTTGGAATGTGTTGTTGGCATCAAATTCAAAAAGGTCATATATTTTTCAAAACCGATAAAATTTCTCAGTTTCAACATTTGATATGTTGTCTTTGTAGTATTTTCTTTTAAATATATGGTTTACATGATTTGCATATCATTGCATCCTATTTTTAATTTACATTCTGCACAGCATCCCAACATTTTTGGAAATGGGGTTGTATTTTTACACTTGAGGCCACCACACGTAAGATATTCCATGTCAAACAGCATCAGAGCATTTGACTCCCAACACTGTCCAATTTCTCTTCATACCTCAGTGTTTTGCTGCTGCTTTGTTCAATTAAATACAGAATCAGACCACAAAAGCCACAGTAGATGACATGTGGCTATAAAATTGACACTGATGCCAGTTGTTGGATAAACAGGGTGTTAATTACTTGTTTCCTCGGTCAGCATTATAGAAGAGTCTTATTCAACCCACACCTCTCAACGTAAAACAGCCAGTTTGTAAAAAGATAGATGATACCAAAAGTAAGACTTTTAAAAATTGTATTACATTCTATATTAACAAATTCTATTGTGATTTTCTGAATCTGGATCTGGATCACTTCTGGTTGAGAGTACAAGGAGCACATCTTTGCTGCTGCTTCTCTCCAGAGCTGTTTTTTGTCATTTTTTTGTCTTGTTTTTCTGTCTGTCTTGTTTGTTTGGATTTCTCGCTCTTTTAGACTAAGGCTCATGGACTTTGCTGGATTTTTATTTGTTGATTGGGCTCCCAGTGGCAATAGTTTTAGCCAACCACCCTAAACCCTGTACCTTTGTAAACTGCATCCACAGTGAGTGAACTTCCACCCTCCCAAATTGTTGTTGGCAGTTTTGCTGGGTTGTCTAGCCTAACTGCTTCTCTGCAATCATTATGGGTTTGCGGTGTTTGGCTAACGTTGGAATGGCTGAATTCTAATGTGGTACTAAATTGTGGTGATTCTGGTCTTGTGCCAGTTGGACATATATCAACAAAATGGTTGTTGTTTAGCCCTGGATTACATTTGATCATCTGTATTTTTTTTTTATTTGGATTGCCTGCTTTGGTTTGAGTGGTCTTGTTTTCCTTTGAAGTGGATCATGTATTGAGCGAATGAATTAAAAACCTTAAATATGCATGCCCAATTGGAGTTTTGCTTTCTAAGTTATGACATGTAATTGGCTTTGTGCATCAAATAAGATACATTTGCTGGACATCATGCTCCCTTGCTGCTCCCTTTGTCTCAGAGGCCAATATCCCCATCATATGGACATATAAACTTCTAGGATTAATAAGAATGCACATGGGATCAACTGCAGTCTTTTTCAGTCATTCTACAAACTGAATGCACGTACCTCTGTGTCCTCCAGAATTTCAACCATCAGTCTTTCTAAAATAGTCCTATTGAACATGTGGTCTGTTACTAGTAAGGCTTCACTAATTAATAATCTGATCTATACATGCTCTGTCTGTGGCAAACCTGGCAACCGACTGGGGACTACCTACATTCAAACATCTTTGTGCTGACAGAAAGTGACGACTTCCAATACAGTAAACCATGGCATGGCATTTCCAGGCTTTCAGCTATAGGCATTTCAGATCTTGTTTGCTTACGGAGCGCTCCAAGGTTCTATCCTGTTTATACTACATATTTCACTTGTAGGTCAGATCATTCGAAAACTTGGTCTGACGTTTCACTGTTATGCCGATATTACTTACTTTAGCGCAAAATTTGCTAATTCTGTTAGTAGGCCCTAAAGGTTTAGTTTCAAACTTCTCCATCTTCACTCTCCATGTTGACAGATCTTTTACAAACCTCATTAAACCTCATTAAAAGTCATTGTTCTAGGCCTTAGATACCTCCTTCATGTTTACTGTCCTTTTTGATCTCTCAGGTCAGAGCTGTTTTTTTAGTTCTACTAATCAAAGAATGCCTCATGAGCAGCAAACTGACTCACCAGCAGAACAAGCCTTCTTCACAAAGACAATTCACAATAATAAGCTCTTACTCGTTCGTTTTTAGAGTAAGATGAAGGTACAAAAGGATTGGATGCTTTAGCTCAGTTTACTGCCATGTCAGTATTGACTGGTGGTGATAGGAGCAATAAAAAAACCACATGAATTCAAATCTGAATTTTCTCATTCAGATTGCGTGGCCAAGTATCAGATATGTATCCAGTTTCGGACCATATATGTAGGTGGCTCAGATCTGATTTGAAAAGATTTTGTGTCCACACAGCTCTGAAAATGTATTAGATTTGTGCTACTTCAGCCTGTTGAGGTGAACATAGTAAAGACGACATGGTAGGTTTAATACCCTATACAGTATAGACTTCTTTACTCTTATTACTTCCTTAAAGGGACAACCACTGTTTGTTCTAATCATTCATTAACTTTGATTTTTTTTTCTCTATGTCTCATTCTCCTATGTCTGCTTTATCTAATACTTCAGCCTTTCTGTTAGTATGGTTTATAGTATTTTTACCATTTTGTGCTTATCATTTTACCATTATTGTTCTCCTCTGTTTGTTTCTCAGTTGAGTCCCTGTGACTCTTGTTGAAAACCAGGTCTGCATGGCACAAGTGCCTCCCTCCTAGGAACTACTATAGTGGTGGCTATAGAGATACTGATAATGACTCTAAACTGTTGTGGGTGTTGGGCTTTGTCTTTTTCTGTCCTTTGCAGGTGTCTCACAAAGGTAGTCTGAGTAGCACATCTAACTTTCATCTCCATAGAGAGGAGTAGTTCTTTTTTGTTCATAGGTACAATACAGGCCAAGTGACATTAAAGAATATCATTCAGTTAAAGTGATGCACGCTTTAGCTCTAGTGCCACTGGATGGGTGGTAAACATTTATAAAATAATCATTAAAGCTCAAGGATTGTGGACAAATTATTAATATTAATTGCTGTATTAGAAAACAACAAATTAATATTATTATTATAGAAATAAAATTATCATAGATTAATTTGATCAATCATATATACTCAAGTGCTTATTTTAGTATATTAGAATTCCTGCAATGAGACACAAACATGGTTAATAATTCACATAATTTAATAATAATGTAATTGGTAAAAAGACAGAAGTAATGCAAATATATATAGTGATGGCCATCTCTATTAAAGACGAGAAAACAGCATCAGACGTAATTATAAATGAATCTATGCAGTAATAGGTTCATTTAAAATCATGGCTGGGAAGAAACTCCTGGTAAGAACCCAGAGAACTGAAACTGAGACCAGAATTATGTGAGGTTATACAGTCCCCCAGCAGAGTGTTGGTACAATTTATAGGACAACAAGGAAAAAAAGAAGTTAGAAATAATTGGTTACACATAATTGTGATATAAATAAACAAGTTTTAACATATATGCACAGTAAATTAGAAGAAAGGAAACCCAAATATGGCCAATAGGTCCATCCAATATTTTGTGTCTTCAGGATGAATCAGCCTGTAGCCACAATGCCATTAAACGAAGCTTCATTGTCACTCTTACCAACTAGCCAGGCTTTAGTTGAGAAAACAAAGATAAAACCTATGCCTGATTTGTAAGGAGTAGTTGATTTGTTACAACCCAGCACATTCCTTGCGCACACAAGAAAACACAGATGAAGTTCACTCTGAATTTATGAGTAACAAGATTTATAGCATGCATATATTGTGAAGATACAAGTGGTATGGTTATATAAATCAACTGTCATATGAGAAATTACTGCTTTTTTAACCATAATGTATTAAAAAGAAATACAAAATAAGCAAACAAAATAAGATAAAAATGAAAACCAGAAGAATGCCTACTTTACACACAATAAAAGGTATTAAAGAAACATCCATTCTACAGTATCACAGCGGCTCAAGACTAACCACCATGCCAACCTTGGAGATAATGAGTAGGCAAAAACCTTTTCGATCCCCTGGGCTGACAGGACATGACTGCCATGCCCTTGATCAATGCAGGTGCTGTGGATAGGGCTGCCCACCAATCTGGGCAAGTGTGCTCTCTGCCCCCTAGTGTGTGCATTCATTAGTGTGTATGTGAGTGTTTCACTGCGCAGATGGGTTAAATGTGGAGGTAAATTTCCCTGTTGTGAGACTAATTATGGGTAACTTAACATTAAAGATTTTTCTTGGGTTCACGACTGAGAGACCTGGTCAATAGCATCAGTCTTTAGAAGATTTCAACAGGAATTGCAGGAGTAGGTTCAGTGCACTTTTAAAACGGATTGTTTTTCCATGTTTTATCTCATGCAATTGAAGAGCATGCAACAAATGAAAGTCTCATTGAGTTAAAAATGGGCTCAGCCTGAGGGTTGGAGCCAAAAATTTGACTCCTAAGTTGGTGGTTGGAAATCAACCACAATTCTCTCATGTGATAACACAGTTCATCTCATGTCCATATGATGCAACTGGTGTATCATACTACTCTGAAAGTCACCCCAAAGCTTCTAGCATGATTTTAGATTTAATTTTCAATTAAACACTCAATGTTTATGTATGTTTTCAAACACTTCAGGAAAAATAATTAATTACATATTCAGACATGACATCATCAAACAACAAACATATTACATATAAAACAGAATGTTAAGAATTTCTTGTGAAATTCCCATTTCAGTGTTATTGATTTGTTTAATGATGTTTGTGGTTTTTCTATTAATACTTAATAATACAGCCGCTGTAACACATGGCTTGGTCATAAACCAGGGTTTACCTTAGCATAGGTCAGCATTGTTTTATGGCTGGCTGAGAGCATTTGGGCTGTCAGTGTCCCTGTAATGGAAATAATTCAGAACAGTTCTAGGCATGTTGGATGCTTTTTAGTATCAGAGATGGGAATTCCTTGCCCTCAAGAGGAAGCAAGACTTCTTAAGTAACATCTTCTGAATTACACCATTTAAATCCTGTGGGAGAGTTTACAGGTTTAGAGCCTGGGTCTCTTTATGCTGTCATGATGGAGACCTTGCAGAGATTCTTTGGGGCATGATCCTGGATTCCAGTGGTCAGATATGGCCATAAAAGTTTTAGTTTTAGATAACTTTGCTGCACACGCGGTAAAAGTTAACTTTGGGTGTGTAATGGCTTTGTGTGTGTCTCCGCCGCTCACAGCTTAAACAATACAGTTTGAAGAATCAGCTGCTGCTGTTGCAAAGGACACATGTTGATGCGAATGGAGAGAGGTATCTAACACTTGCACCCAGTAACTTCTTGCCACTGATATTTCTCCTCTTCTGCTCTCCCCCGTAACCACCAGGTGAAGATCAATGTGATGAAATTAAGAGGACAATGTAGGCTGTAGATTTGAACACCACACAGGAAACACCTAAAACAGCGAAAGAGACAAAAGAAAGAAACTTAATGGTAGTACCACAAAAATGGACAGTAGATGTTGCTATCCATCAAAGGGATTAAGAACTGTCTGTTAACGTTGTCCCTTCGGCAGGCGCCTAATACACCAGCAGTTAAACATCATGAAACTTCAGAGAGTGAGTGTGCTTAACATATCTTCATCCTTCGGCAACTACCCCCATGTACGAATCAGTTACATCTTGACTACTGCCCATAACTATCCCCATAATGTGACAGACATGTTATTTTCAGATAATTTAATCTACATTGCATGACCAAAAGTATGCCACCCAAACCTCCCACCCATACGTGCTTGTTGAATCCTTCTGTGGTCTTACTTTATGAGCCTGTATTACCCATGGCTCCATCACTGAACTGTTGTTGTTCCTTGGATCCACTTCACAATAACTCACTGGGGCAGCTCTAGCAGGTCAGGAGTTTGACAAACTACAGAATTTAAAGAGGACATCATACGACAGTGCTACATTTAAAGGCAATGAGTTGGTCAATATGATGTATTACACCTCCATTGTTGGTTTATGACAGCTGGCTCTTATATTCAGATGTCCCTAAAGCCTTCATTACCTAGATTAGGTATGTTGGCTTAAGGTTAGTGCTTATCTCTGCAGGGTAGTAAATTGCCAGGACCAGGATGGGCATCCCTGTTCTATGACATGGCTTTAGTTTGTCTTTATACCCATTAGTACAGCCAAAGCAAATAATTCTGTCCACATGCTTTTGGACACATGGTGTATTTTTACCTCACGTGTAGTGGTTATATTCCTAGCCAGCCAAACCAAAAAAGGGCCATCCAAAATAAGTAAGCTACAAGATGTTTGTAACATGACCTATTGGCTGGGACTTGTCAAGCGTTTGTCTTCTCGGAATAGTTTTTATATTTTGGATTCCACCAGACTATGTTGAAAAACTGGACCAATTTGGATCATTTTGTCAGTATGTTCAACTACAAGGACATGAGTTGCCAGAGATGCAACAAGGCATGCTCCAAGGCATTTTTACCAAACATTGCATTTCTGAAGGTGTGCACCACATTGTGTCCAGCACCAGAAGTTCTCCTTCAGAGCATTAAATATATACATATAAATGTGAACATAAGTGACATTTTCTGAAAATCATACAATGTAAAACAACATTCTATAGTTGCTTGTTTTGCATGTCAGTCTAATCTTATGGTTGTGAAAAATTCTGTGATTTCTCATCGTGCTCAACACCTCATGGATGAGCTGTGAACTCATCCAGCTGGAAATCGTAACATACAATCTAGTGCCTCAAGCCACATCAAGCCAGTTTAAATCTGAAAATTAAAGGCTGAGTGCATCTCAAACTGCCAAGAAACTTAAGTGAAAGGTACAGTATCTAAAGTCAGCAACAGCCATGAACACTGATTAATAAATGTTAGCAAATACTTCATTTTAGTCTGTTTGATGTGTAATGTTTGATGAGTAACGTTCACACTTTACACTTACATGCGTTCTCTAAATAGTAAGCAGCATATGACCAGAACTTATCTATTTGTCCAGCAAGCTGAATTTTAATGTAATTTTACTTAGTATAAGATCCATCAAACCTGCCTGCTAATGCCTTTTTAAATTAAGCAATATATATATTAGTTATTTAATAGAGACAAGTTGGCTATTATCCCTGCTTACCATGTGTTCTTGGTTGGGTTCACATTACCAGATGACAGATTTGACTCACTTAACTATATAAATGTGAACTATGAAGCTATAAAGATTAGATGTGAGCAAAACATCAGAATTGAGCAGTGAGGCTTTTGATGTGAATGCAGCCCTTTTCAGTGTGTAAAGACTGCTGCATATTTGACCACCATGCAAAATCTGCTCAGATCTGAAGGATTGAGAGGAACAGTAAAGATGAAGGAGTTATGTAAGGGCGAAATCATGAAGGGCTTTGAAATGTACAGGAGTTGTTTGTACTTGATACAGAAAGAAAGTGGTAACCAAAAAAAGCTGATGGAGGATGCAGATGATGTAAAAGTGAGGATTCTGGCTGCTGAATTTTGAATTAACTGGAGCTGGTTAAGCCATTTAACAGGGAGACCATTAAAGAGGGAGTTGCATTAAACAAAGCAGAAGAGAATGAAGGTGTTGACCAGCATTTCTGCATCAGCATTGATGTGCAGATGGTGGAGATAAGCAATACTGTTCAGATGATAAAATGCAGTCTTAGTGGCTGACTTAATATGGAGCTTAAATATAGATGATGAATTTGAAACCAAGGTTTTTAATGATTTGAGCTGATTTAATAACTGATCAGTCAACACTGGCAGTTGGAGAAGTTGGAAGCTAAAGGTTAAAGGCCTACTAACAGAACTTATGCACTCAGTGACTGGGATGAAACTGTAGGTGGATGCATTGCTGTATCTCTACACTGGCACTGAAATGTCAGACCATGGTTTCAAATGACCTGACCCCAAAGTGAAATGATTAATATAAAAAAAGATGGGTCCAAGGACAGAATCTTGGGGCACTCCCTGAGCAATCAAGAACAAGACGAGCAATGCCTATAGACAAAAGTTTGGAAATGCCATGCCACGGTTTACAGTGTTGAAAGATGTCCCACGTTTCAATTCAGCAAAAGCATGTCCAGATTTATCTGAGGGATCAGATCATTAATCAGTGAAGTCATACTAATAATGGAACATACGTTCAGAAGGACTATTTTAGCAAGATTAATGGCTCAAATTTTGGAGGAGGCAGGTATATGTGCATCCAATTTGCAAAACAAGCGAAGAAGACGACATTTAATTCCATGCGCATTTGCATTGATCCTAGAAGTTTACTTGTGTGTACAGATAATGGGGATATAGGCCTCCGACACATAGTTAGCAGTGACTGGTTAATGTACCTTGGTTGACACACAAAGCTAATTGATTGACCTCATTCAAAAAGTTAACGACTTCAAACAGTTATGCATTTAAAGCTTTTTAGTTCACTTGCTGAATTCATGATCCACACTGAAGGAAAACAAGACCACTCAAACCAAAGACAGACAATCTAAAACAAAAATAATTGGGCAAATGTAATCCAGAAGTAACCATCATACCCATTTTATTGATTCTTACCCCACTGGCATAAGACCAGAATCACAACTTAGTTGTTAGACAATTACCAAAAATCACACACCCATTGTGAGTGCCGTGAAGCTGTTAGACTACACAACCTAGCAAAATTGCTGACAAGAAAACTCAGCTTGGCTGCAGTCAACGAATGTGCAGGAAAGGAGGGCGAGGAATTTGGGTGACTTGTTACTAGCATTGCAGTTGGGTGTTCATTTAACAAATCCAGCAAAGTCCATGAGATATTATATTATGTGTAAGCACATAATTTGGGGCATTTCTTGAATGCTGGGTCGGCCTCTCGGGCACAGTTTTAGAATGGTTTAAATCATATTTAAGTAATTGGCTGTTCATGGTTTCAATTGGAAATCATTCATCAAAAGATTTGCCATTTCTCGTAGAGTCCCCCAAGGTTCAGTTTTAGGGCCTTTGCTTTTCTCTTTGTACATGTTACCTCTAGGTGATGTCATTAGGAAGAATAATATACGTTTTCATAGCTATGCTGATGACACCCAGTTATACATTTCTATTCCTTCTGGAGATCAAGACTCTGTAGACAGACTAACTAGCTGTGTGTCAGATATTTCTCAGTGGATGTCATATACCAAAACTGAAGTAGGAAACCTGGGTGTGATCTTAGACTCTGACCTTCTTACTGGACTTCCTAAGAAAAACTTTACATCTCATCACAACTCGTACAAAATGCAGCAGCCCACATTCTAACAAAAACAAAAAAGGAGAGCTCACATTACTCCTGTTTCAAAAGAACTACACTGGCTGCCTGTATCAATAGGTTAGATTTTAAAGTTCTGCTACTAGTTTTTAAAGCTCTAAATGATCTTAAAGCACCTGCTTACATCAGTGTCTGTTTATGTTCCAGCGTGTAATCTAAGATCTGCAGATAGTGGCCTCAGCACAGCAGAGCTGGTCGTGGAACTGAATCATGGCTCTTCATGCTTCTCAGAAGATGAAACTTGAAAACAGCAGCTTCTCTTCAACTTTGACTGCTTGGACAGTTGGTTGTTGGATTTATTTTATTTTTTCTGACTTGGGTTGCTTGAATGAGTCAGAGACTCCATGCTTGAGAGGAGGCTTGGAGATATATTGAGAATGGCTTCTTGATGGAACAATGATGGTTTAATTTTTTCTTGGAAAGACATCAAATCTTAAAATCTTAAATAACTAAAGCTTTTCCTCACACTCTATGGAGTGATAAAGTTTCTCTCCTGTATGAATGCGCTGGTGATTCTTGAGGGCACCACTTTCTCTAAAACTCTTTCCACACTCTAAGCAGTGATATGGTTTTTCTCCTGTGTGAATGCGCTGATGTTTCTTGAGAGCACTACTTTCTCTAAAACTCTTCCCACACTCTGAGCAGTGACACGGTTTCTCTCCTGTGTGAATGCGCTGGTGTGTTCGGAGACTACTCTGTTGACTGAAACTCTTCCCACAATCTGAGCAGTGATGCGGTTTCTCTCCTGTGTGAGTGCGCTGGTGAATCTTGAGGTTACCACTTTCTCTAAAACTCTTCCCACACTCTGAGCAGTGATACGGTTTCTCTCCTGTGTGAATGCGCTGATGTTTCTTGAGGGCACTACTTTCTCTAAAACTCTTCCCACACTCTGAGCAGTGACACGGTTTCTCTCCTGTGTGAATGCGTTGGTGATTTAGGAGATTACTCTGTTGACTGAAGGTCTTCCCACACTCTGAGCAGTGACACGGTTTCTCTCCTGTGTGAATGCGCTGGTGATTTAGGAGATTACTCTGTTGACTGAAGGTCTTCCCACATTCTGAGCAGTGATACAGTTTCTCTCCTGTGTGAATGCGCTGGTGATTCTTGAGTGCACCACTTTCTCTAAAACTCTTTCCGCACTCTGAGCATTGATACAGTTTCTCTCCTGTGTGAATGCACTGGTGTCTCTTGAGGGCACCACTTTCTCTAAAACTCTTTCCACACTCTGAGCAGTGATACGGCTTCTCTCCTGTGTGAATGCGCTGGTGTTTTCGGAGATTACTCTGTTGATTGAAACTCTTTCCACACTCTGAGCAGTGACACGGTTTCTCTCCTGTGTGAATGCGCTCGTGTTTTCGGAGATTACTCTGTTGATTGAAACTCTTTCCACACTCGGAACAGTGATACAGTTTCTCTCCTGTGTGAATGCGCTGGTGTTTTCGGAGACTACACTGTTGATTAAAACTCTTTCCACACTCTGAGCAGTGATACAGTTTCTCTCCTGTGTGAATGCGCTGGTGATTCTTGAGGGCACTACTTTCTCTAAAACTCTTTCTGCACACTAAGCAGTTATACAGTTTCTCTCCTATGTGAATGAGCTGGTGTCTTTGAAGATGACCGTGTGTAGTAAAACTCTTTCCACAGTCAGAGCAGTAATACGGTTTCACTCCTGTGTGAATGCGCTGGTGTTGTTGGAGACCACTCTGTGAAGTAAAACTCTTTCCACAGTCAGAGCAGTGATACGGCTTCTCTCCTGTGTGAATGCGCTGGTGTTGTTGGAGACTACTCTGTGTAGTAAAACTCTTCCCACACTCTGAGCAGTGATACGGTTTCTCTCCTGTGTGAACGCGCTGGTGTTTTAGGAGATTACTCTGTTGACTGAATCTCTTCCCACACTCTGAACAATGACACGGTTTCTCTCCTGTGTGAATGCGCTGGTGTCTTCGGAGATGACTCTGTACAGTAAAACTCTGTCCACACTCTGAGCAGTGATATGGTTTCTCTCCAGTGTGAATGCGCTGGTGTTGTTGGAGACTACTCTGTGCAGTAAAACTCTTCCCACACTCTGAGCAGTGATAAGTTCGTTTTTTGCCTGTAATCTTTTGTGTTGGTTTGTGAGGTGTGTTTATGTGAAGAGCAGCAGATGTTTTCTGAGTATTGGAGCTTCTGGACACCAGATTCTCACATTCAGTCTTAACTTCCAGCTGTTTCATGATCTGCTTAGATTTTAATTAGAAATTTGCAGGAAAATGGTCAGCGGGCACAGGAGACTTGCAAAAGGAGATTATTCTAGAGGAGAAAAGGAGGAAAAAAATAACACACAGGTTGATCAGGGATTCAAGTAGTTAAGTGTTTAAAAACACTGGATTTTCAAAACATGCAAAAGGTAATTTTCTTATTGAGCACTGAACATAATTTACACACAAATGAAAGCAAGGATGTGCTGCACTATGATCACAGATGGCCAAAATTTTAATAAGAGCACACAAACATAGACCATACAAACACAGAGACCACAGAGATACAAATACAATTCTCCTTAAATGAAATTGTAAATGTCCTCACACTCAGCGCTATGCACAAAATGCTTTACATTCTGGTTTATTAGATCTTAGTGCAGCTTTTACTACCATTAACCACAAGATTTTAATCTAGTGTCTTGAACATTCGGTAGGTCTCTCAGGAACAGTTTTAGAATGGTTTAAATCATATTTAGGTAATAAGCAGTTCATGGTTTCAATGGGAAATGACACGTAAAAATGATTTGTCATTTCTTGTGGAGTGCCTCAAGGCTCATTTTAGAGCCTTTGCTTTTCTCTTTGTACATTCTAGCTCTATTTTCATAGTTGTACTAATGACACCCAGTTATACATTTCCATTCCTTCTGATGTTCAAGACGCTGCTGACAGACTGACCAGCTGTGTGTCAGATATTTCTCAGTGGATGTCATAAGATTTTCTACAATTAAATCATGGTACAAAAACTCTGCTGCTTAATGAGAAACTAGACTCTCTAGCTTCATATATCAAACCTGAAGTATGAAACCTGGTTGTGATCTTAGATTCTGAGCTCTCCTTTAACGCACATTTAAATGCAGTCACTAAAGTAGCCTTTTATCATTTGGGAAATATTGCTAAAGTTAGGCTTTTCTATCTCAGAGGGATACAGAGAAACTTTTATGCATTTGTTACAAGCAGAGTTGATCACTGTAATGTCTTCTTACTGAACTTCCTAAGAAAACAATCTATCCTTTATAACTAATACAAAATGCAGCAGGACAGATGCTAACATAAAATAGATCGTATCACTCCAGTTTTAAAAGAACTCCATTTATGTTCCAGCACATGATCTTAGATCTGCAGACATTGATACTGACCTGCAAACATCTTCTGTAAAATACAGAAAACATGAGGAGGCTTCATTCCATTATTATGCTTCTTAACTCAGTTCCACCTTTTATTAGACAGTCAAGCTCAGTGCTCACTTTTAAGAAGCATCTAAAAACATATCTTTTTAACTTAGCACTTAAAACTCTACGTCTCATGATATTTATCTGTTAACATAATCTGTGTAATTTTCTTATGATTCTAAAATAATACTTAAAATTAAAGATTTGTATAAGAAATTATATCTCCTGTTTGTAAAGCACTTCGAGCTGCCACCAGCATAAGCAGTGCTATAGCAACAATAAATAATAATAATAATAATAATAATAATAATAATTATTATTATTATTATTATTGTTGTTGTTGTTATAAATATATAACAACTGCGTCACTGCGAGCGACAGAGAGCACGTCACTGCGAGCGACAAAGAGCACGTCACTGCGAGCGACAGAGAGCACCACACCTTAGAACTTCAGATCGAGCAGCGTCCAAACTTTACTTGAAAATTAGTTGAAAATTCGGCAGTTAGCAGGCCGCTAACCCCCTCACGCCTCTCCTTCTTATTTTTGTCTCCTCCCTCTCTCTTTTTCTATCTCTCTCACAGTTATTCCCTCAGCCCGTCCACCATGGCGTCCTCCCAGGAACGCGCCCTCCAGACCCTGAGCACAGAGTTGGCCCGGCTGGATCGGCAGATCACCGCCCTGCTGAAGAAGCAGGACGAGCTCCTTCGGCAGAAGTCGATGCTCGAAGCCGCCCGGGAAGTTTCCCCCTCGGTGGTGGCGCCAGCGTCGTCTTTCCGCGCGCCGGGAGACGCCGTTCTCACGCCAGCCCCGCATGGTCCCTGGGAATGCCAGCGCAGCAGAGGGCCCTGCAGACCCACACCGCCGCCCCAGCCGATCTTCGCCTCCGGAAACCGTTTCGCCGCCCTCAGTACACCGCATACGCCCTCACCTATGTCCCGGGCCTCCTCGCCGCCGCCCGCCCCAGCGCCCCAAGCCTCGTCACCCGCCCCAGCGCCCCAGGCCTCGCCGCCCGCCCCAGCGCCCCGGCGCTCTTCACAGGACTCCGTTTATGTTATTGGTAGTTCTATTGTCCGCCACGTTAAAGTAAAGGTTAGAAACACCCATGCCACTGTCTCCTGTTTTCCAGGTGCTCGTGTCTTAGACATAGCCAAGCGCCTCCCCTCGGCTCTCAGACGAAACGCCTTCGGGACCGTGGTGATCCATGTCGGGACCAACGACATCCTCGACCGTCGTAGCGAGGTCCTGAAGGAGCACTACCAGACGCTGCTGGACACCGCCAGGAAGAAGACGGACGCCAGGATCGTCATCTCCGGACCGCTACCCACCTACAGGAGGGGATCTGAGCGGTTCAGCAGGCTCTTCACGCTGCAGTCCTGGCTCCGCGGATGGTGCGCCCTCAATGGCTTGACCTACGTGGCCAACTGAGCCTCGTTTTGGGAACAGCCGGCGCTCTTCCGGAGGGATGGCCTCCACCCTAGTCAGGTAGGATCTGTTGTTCTCTCACGGAACATCGAGAGGGCCATCCACTGACTACACAGCGAAGGCCACGTAAGTAGCGGCAAAGATAGAAACGCTACAGCTCATAATGCTAGTGTTAGCACTGAGAATAAGATGATTATTAGCACCAGTTGCGTCGGACCAGTTGCGTCACCTAGGTTCCACTGTATTGAGACTGTGTCTCTGCCCCGAATTAAATCTAAATCTAAACGTAGAATAACTCAATCAGCCCGTTTCGACAACCTGATCAATATTAAATCATATTCAGATGATAGCAGCAACACCTCAACTCTAAAATTTGGGTTACTCAATATAAGATCACTAAACTCAAAAGCAGTAATCATAAATGAATTTATAAGTGATCATAAATTTGACGTTTTCTGTCTTACTGAAACATCGGTTAGACAGGATGATTATTCAGCACTAAATGAAGCCACCCCTATGGGCTATAATTATGTACACAGCCCACGATTATCAGGCAAAGGAGGTGGATTATGTGTAATCTACCAGAATACCCTAGATATCAGTCAGAAACAATGTGACACCTTCACTTCTTTTGAGGTTCTCTCCATCAACGTTACTACTGCAAACCTAGCTATGTGCAATGATAAGGTAATGATTGTAGGAGATTTTAATGTCCATTTTGAGAAGGCAGATGACCCACTAAAAAAGGCGTTTACTTCAATCCTAGACTCTGTTGGTATCACCCAAAATGTAACAGGGCCTACACACTACTGTAGTCACACTTTAGATCTAGTTCTGACACTCGGACTTAACATAGACAGGCTTAATATCCTACCCCAAACCTCAGTAATCTCCGACCATTACCTAATCTCTTATGAGCTACGTCTTAGCTATAATACATGTACGTCCCCTCGCTATTCTGCAAAGCGCACAATAAAACCATTTACCGCCCTACAATTCATAGAAAACCTCCCAGTACTAACAACCCTAGTCTCCACTCCATCAGACCCAATGGAGCTAGATGTATTAACCAACTATTTAGAAAATACCTTCCGATCTACTTTAGAAAATGTGGCGCCACTAAAAATCAAAAGGATAAGACAGAAAAACCTCGCCCCATGGTACGATGATAAAACCCGTACCTTAAAACTAACAGTATGGAAACTAGAGCGGAAATGGCGATCAACCAAGCTGGAAGTGTTCCACTTGGCCTGGAAGGACAGCCTTATAGAGTATAGAAATGCTCTCACTAAAGCTCGCTCAGCATATCTGGCCTCGCTGATCGAGAACAATAAAAATAATCCTAGAGTACTGTTTAGTGTGATCTCTAGAATTACAAAAAATCAGGCAGGTACTGAACCACAAATTCCGGCGACCCTCACCAGTGAAGTTTTTATGGACTTTTTTAATAAAAAATCGAAAATATTAGACAACAAATTCAACCCACAGTATTAAATCCAACTTGGCTGTCATCTGACATGGCTGATATAAAACATAACATAGCTGCAGAAGAAAGGCTTGAAAATTTCTACCCACTCCCACAGCTAGAACTAGAGAAGATTATCTCCTCTGCAAATTGTACAACCTGCACACTTGATGCAATCCCCTCAAAATTACTCAAAGAAGTACTACCAGTTATCATTAATCCTCTTTTAACTATAGTAAACTCGTCCCTTAGCCTGGGCCATGTACCCAGAGCTTTTAAACTAGCAGTCATTAAGCCTCTGATCAAGAAACCAAACCTTGATGCTAGCATATTGTCTAATTACAGGCCTATATCTAACCTGCCATTTATATCTAAGATCTTAGAAAAAGCCGTAGCCCAACAACTTAGTTCATATCTACATAAGAACTACATATTTGAGAAATTCCAATCTGGATTCAGGCCACATCACAGCACTGAGACAGCTCTAGTTAAGATAACAAATGATCTTCTTCTTGCCTCTGATCAAGGCTACATATCCCTGTTAGTGCTACTTGACCTCAGCGCAGCTTTCGATACGACAGACCACAATATTCTCCTACAAAGGTTAGAAAACATGGTTGGAATCACAGGGACCGCCCTATCATGGTTCAAATCTTACTTAACAGAACGTTATCAGTTCGTAAAGGTAAATGACTTATCTTCCAATTATTCACAAGTAAGATCTGGAATTCCGCAAGGCTCTATTTTAGGACCATTATTATTTACATTATACATGTTACCGTTAGGCACAGTTATAAGTAGCCATGGCACCAACTTTCACTGTTACGCAGACGATACGCAATTGTACATATCAGCCAAGCCTGATGACAAATACAGGTTAAAGAAAATAGAGGACTGTGTAAAAGATGTGAAAGGTTGGATATCGCGTAACTTCCTCCTCCTAAACAGTAACAAAACAGAGGTTCTCCTTCTGGGTCCAAAAGTGGCAAGAA